TAGAACAATATGTAAGAGCTAGCCAATAAGGAACTGGAACTAGCCGGGCCAGGCAGTGTTTGAAAGAATACAGTTTCCGTGTAATTATTTCTGGGCATAAGCTAGCCATGCGGGCGGCTGGGTGCTGGGGACGCGGCCCCGCCGCTCCCTAATTCAACAGTGAAGTTTGTTAAATAAACTAATTTTGAAGTCTAGGGAGCCTGCCTGGCTGAACTGAAAGGAAAGTGAGAAGGCAGCTTGTTAGGGTGAGGTATGTGAGGCAAGATTTAACTGATTCATGAGAATTAAGGGTCTTTAAAAAATTAGTATTTTGTGCCAGGCATTGTAGCACACACAGTCAACTCCAATTCTGGGAGGCAGCAACAGGCTCAAGGCAAGTCTGGACTACCTACTGAAACCTAACTTTGTTTTTTGTATTTTGTTTATTAAGAGAGACTTTTACACTTATTTTGAGCTTTAAAAATATTGTAGTATAATATTTTGTCTCTTAATCACTGAGCTTTTAAAAGCATCTTTCAATTTTGTGCCAAGACAGATGCATTGCTTTCCTCTTTGTCTAAAACCTTCTGGATCTGTCCTGGCATCAAGCCTAGCTTCTCACTTGTGAGGTCAATGCAGCCCTGAAGGCGCTGCCCTGGTTTGGTACTCAGGTTAATTGTTTCTGAGCAAAGTCCTTTGCATTTTTATTTTGCACGAGGCCCCACAAATCATATAACTTGTCTTGATCATCAAAGTAAATTGTAAACTGAATGGTGAATAAAACCTGTGTTTTCTTTGCTCTGTAGGGAAAATTGCAGTTGCTGCTTGCTCTCCATCCACAGCTTCCTGTTTTTACTTTGTCATTAAATTCCTTTAATCCTGCAACAACTGGGCTCTGTCCTGGAAACTGCCTTCCTGGTCTCGCCTCTTAGAGACAATGGCTTTTCAGCTACTTTGAGCATGAGAAAAGGCTCATTGCCTCTGCCTGGAACTTTGGGAAACTGGTTGGCTCTGTGATTCATCAGAAATAAGAAAAACAAACACTGTAAATGGAGAACTTGGAAAACAGGTGGGCACCATCTCCCTACCCACGAGAAAGAGTTTAAGAGGAAATTTGTTTATGGGATGGGGCTTTAAAAGGCGACCTGGGGAATTTAGTGCAGACGTAAATAAACAACTCTTCCTTGGATTGCATTAGTCTTCAGAATAAATATATTAACCAACTTCAGTCAAATTCTCTCTAGAATCTGACCTTGACAAGACCCAGTGCCCTCTGGTTGCTGCTCCTGTCCCTCCCCATAACAGCAGGCAGTTTCTCTCTGGCCGCTTACCCCAAATCAGGCAGACCTTTCTCTCCCAAGAACTGAAGGTAAACAGAAGCCTGTTAGGATTCCTCAGCACTGCAGGGCCAACCCGGAAAAAACCCGCAGTCAGTAGACACCAATCTTGCCTTTTTACTCTATAGTCATCCGGTCCCAGATCCAAACACTCTTCTGTGACACCCCCCCCGGGGGGGGGCTGAACTGTGCCTCTGCCACAATAGCTCAGGTCTGTACTCACTTCCCTTTAAGTGTAGACACAAACCGATAAATTTGCCCAGACCCCATGGACCTCCTGGGCTCCAGCAGGCAGGCAGAAGGGAAAGTTTGGCTCCCTGGGTCCTCTCTCCTAACCCGAGGGTTTGAGTTTTCCCCACCTTCTATCTTTCTTTTTGTCCCTATCCTGCCCCAGTCTTCTTTGTGAAACATTTCCTGAGTGTGATTTAAATAATTATCATTTAAATATCTTAGTACAGACCACACAGAAAGCAGTCTAGCAAGGCAAGGGTTAAAATGATACTGAGGGGAGGTTCAGTAAAGCATTTCATAGTACTTGGAAGAAAGATTTTTTTTGTTTTGTTTTGTTTTTTAATTCTTACGTCAGTAGCTTTGGCAGACTAAGCCAAACATGTTCAAAAATTTTTTTTTAATAGCTACTAAATCACATTCTTGGTACAGGGGTGTCAGTGGGAGAGTGGCCTCTACACCTCAACAGGGCAAAACAGTAGAGCTACTCCTGAAGATGCAGGAGCTGGAGAACCAGTGACCCCACCCTTGCTCATCACTCCAAAGGGTGAACTAGGAGCAAAGCTGGAGAACTCACCCTGGTGCTGAAGACGGGGGAGCGCTGACCAGATGACCAACAGCGCAACTACTCAGACCCAGAACCAGGGCTAATGGTTGGCCCACCCCAACATCCACGCCATCTGTGATCTGCTGGAAGGTGAGGGGGTCTTGTGGACCCAGGGCTACAAGATCTCCACAGCACAGGGCAGCAAAGGGATGTCCAGGAAGAGTCCCTGTGAGGGTCCAGTGTCAGTAGTGTGGCAGAGACGAGGGGCCTCTAGCCAATGATTCCGTGCAATGAATGTCTGCCTGTAAAGATGTATGGATAAAGGGGTTTACTGCATGACCCCCTGTGTTACATTGCAGTTTCCATGACAAGAGTTTCCCTTTCTCCCCATCTCTTTTTTTTTCTTTTCCTTTTTTTAAACTTAAATTTTGATTTGTTTTATTTGGGGAGGTGTTAAAGGGGCAGAGGGTGGAGGCAACGGTACGGAAGATGCATGGATCGGCTCGCATGATGTGAAAGGCACAAAGAACAAATAAAAAAGAAAGTTAAATGATTTTCCTCCTTATGAGAAGGGCTGTTCTGAATGACTTATAAATGCCCAGGTCTTTAGCTCTATATAATGACACGATTCTTTTTATTTAGCAGAAAATAAAAATGAGTTTCAGAATGGGCAAGTTCATAGATATAAAGTGATAGGCACCCATACATAAGTCTGTATGATTTTAAATGCATATCTTTTCTCTTCTGCCATTCTTTTTCCTGTTATTTTCTCTAAAGCTTGGTGTTAGATTGTGGGGGAGGGTTATAGATCCTTCATAATTTCCCCCTTTTATTGTAAGGCAGGGGGCCTTGAAGCATTTTGGCAGAAAGCTATCTAACCTCTTGTGAAACTTATTATTACCTAAAGGTGTCAGGGGGAATACATCCATCAAGCACCCTCTGACGTTTCAAGTAACACAACCCTTCAGAGTTACCCTTAACCTTCATGGAGTGTTTACCACATGCCAGGCTGTTCCAGACTCTTCTCATTGTGTCCTATTTCACCTTCACGGGCACTGTGAGGTAGTACTGGTATTTCTTCAGATTTATACACAAGTGAAGAAACAGATTTAGAGATAAGGAACAGATAAGGCTGAACCCAGCTAGTCTATTCCACATGTCCTCATCTACTACAAAGAAAAGTTGGTGTCTTTGGACATCAGCTGCAACATAAAACAGCTGTAACACAAAGATTAAGATTTACTATGATAAACATTTTTGTTCATAAAATTTGTAAGTCTGATTACTTCTTGGAATCAAACTTAAGAAAATAGAAGTACTGGGAGTAAGACTGTACTATTGTATATTAATTTTTGCTGGTATTCTATGTCATTGGATATTTGACCTCATTTGAGCTTAGCTGTTTAAAGGGACACACATTGTCTGCCAAATCACTACTGGATTTTCATCTGCTCAGTATATGAGAAGAATCAGATGTGTGAAAAAAGGAAAGAGATTGCCTTGCATGGGTCTGAAGCCTGAAACTCAACCATTTGCTAAGTGAAGATAATCTTCTTTTGGTAACATGTGAATAATAATGACTACCTCAGATGACTGTTGTAAGGGTTTAATTACACTAATAACTGTCAAATGCTCAATATTATGCCAAAGAAAGTATCAAATAAGAAACAGATACTAATATCAATGTTGTTCCTGTTATTTTAAACTTTATAAATACAAATAGAATAAGTCAATTTTAACTAGAAAACATCTGTAAACCAAAACTGTATATAATGCAGTTAGCCCAGTGAACCACACAGCCCAACAGAGTGCACCTTCAGCATGCTCAAACCTTACAGTTGGCTTTCTGTTAGGCAAAAGTTTACATTATAGTATTAAATATCTTCCGTGATTTATTGAGCAATATACTGAAGAGACAAGGAACAGTGTAGTTTTTTCATGCCTACAAAAAAGTGGGAAGTATTAAACTTAGGATTATATAACAGAGCTCCTCAGCTGTTGCCGCTCGTCAGATGTGGATGACACATTGTTATTGTTGGTTTCCCTGATAGGAGGGAGAGGCACCTCATGTTTAATAGAAATATCAGAACTGAAGTAGTACTTTTGAATGTACCCCCACGGAAACCCTTATCTGACTTCTGGAGAATTTTGCACAAGCAACATTTTTAACCTTTTGATTTTGTTTAAAGGGGATCTTAGTGCTGAAGAGCTGGTGAAGTGTTACTGGGTTGTAAAACAGTCATTGTTCTTCTGTTTCTAAAGTGATAGACACCATATGTAGGTCTGTATGGTTTTAAATCGATATGTCGTCTCTTTCCCCCTGTTATTTTCTTCTGTTTGAGGATAATTTTGTTTGAAAAAAAAAATAGACTCTTCGTAGTTCTCCTCTGTTGTTAAAACACAGAGGCCCTGAGGTTTTTGGGTAGTGAGCTTCATGAGAGCAGAGTGTGCTATGATGGCTATGTGATTTGGGTTAGTGAGTGCAGCTAAAATGCAGTCACCATGCTGAATTCTAAAAGGGTAAATTTTAAAAGTCAGATTGTTGGAACAAAAGATACCAATGCTAATGATAAGAGTTACATGTCTTGGGCCTAGAGAGATGCCTCAGTAGCTATGTGTAAATACAGCTCTAGGGCGATCTGGTGCTCTGCCCTGCATGGGCACGTAAGCTTATGTACACACACACACACACACACACACACACTATATATATATATATATATATATATATATATATATATATATATATATAGAGAGAGAGAGAGAGAGAGAGAGAGAGAGAGAGAGAGAGATGATAAGGAACAGAGTAAGGCTAAACCCAGCTAGTCTTTATATATATATAAGAGTTTCATATCTCCAAGGCTTCTGGATTGGATCATCAAATAAATAGCTAGCAGGGAGTTAGGCACCTGGAACTCCAGCATGGTCTTCCCCATGTTTGACTCCAGCATGTAGTGATAGGCTCCGACACTCGTGCTGGGGTCGTCTGCATCATCTAAAGTGCCCTTGGGAAGGAAATCAAACAAAGAAACAAAATGTCAATAATAATTCCTTCCCTTCTTTGAATGAGTAGGACCTAATGCTATTATTGGCCTAAAGATTCTGGATAAAATACTTAATCTCATTTACAATGACTCAAATAACGAGTGTTTTATAGTCAACTTAAATGTGACTTTTGCTTAAAATGCTAGCAGATCGTAGAACTACTGATAGAATAAGAATCCCAAAGCAGGAATTCCCTTTTCTTCTTTTAGGATCTTTTGTCAGTGATGCTTTAATGCTTATGTGGCTGTTCTCCATGACTGTCACTGTGGTTTACTGGAATCTTACAACATTGATCTTATCCTGATTTCAGGTAAGACTGCATAATAGAAATTGAAAGAACTTTACAGGCGTGTGGCCCATTCCTTCCTGCCTGCTTGATTCTTAAAGGGAATTAAGCTGTTGCTGACTGCATGAGTATTGGTTTGTATACATTTTTAATATATATATATATATATATTACTTAATATTTAAGAAGCAAGGTAGGTGACAGGTAGAAATGAGATTCTTTTTAGCTTGGTTGTGAGGAACAACACTAAGCAGCAAACCCAAGCTCTGGAATGGTATTCAGGCTTCCTTCAGTATCCCATGACCTTGGATTCCCAGGATGGTGAGCAATGGCAGCATGTGAGACTGCACAAACAGCTGTCAGCATCAGGCAGCAGGAGATGTATAGCTTCAAATGCAATAACATTAACACACTGCTCCTGAAATATTTACGTTGGCCTTTTAAAATATCCTAGGGGAAATCCATCCAGAAGCCTGCAAGCCACACATATCTCTCTCGTTAGAAATTTCCACCAAAAAATGACAAATTACATTTACATTGAGGGCCCTTCCTTGCTCCTAAGTAAATTCCACATGTATATAAATCAGGCATCATTTTCCTAACTTCTCTTCCTCAAAGGTACTTGAATTTACAGGGCCAGAAAAAAAAAAGCTTGCTTTTATGTTCAGAGCAGATATAGTGCAGACCTCCCCACTTCCTCCCAGCTAGGCTACTAGTCCCACTGGCCTGCTGCCCCAGCTCTGCTCCGAGTGATAAGGCAAAAGGATCCCTAACAGTCTCATCATCTCCTTCATGAGCCGCTGCCCAGTAAAGACAGAGACTGTCACTTCAGCTCAGGAAGAAAAACAAAGGGAGGGGATGCTGGCACAACGGCCTTTAATCCCAGGACTCACTCAGGAGGCAGAAGCAGGCAGATTTCTATGAGTTTGAAGCCAGCCTGGTCTACATAAGTGAGTTTCAGTAGCATCATGACTACATAGTATGACCCTGTCTAAAGAAAAGGGGTGGGGGGCAAGAAACAGAAGAAAAGGGACAATGTTTGTCCTCTTCTATAATTCAAACACACACAGAGAAACATCTGCTATACGTGGGGTTCAGGGCGGCTTACAGTTGGAGATACTGGACAGGAATTCTCAACCATTTATTGGACAAATAAATATCTAGTACTGTATTGCTGAGAAATTTTCCTATTTAAATTTCTAAGGCACATTTTATTATTTTCATTTATCTTTCAAAGCATTTAATTGTATCTGTCACGGAAAGTTTCAAAGGTTACCAGAAGATGTAGACCGCTAGAAACCATGATTATTGAACACACAGAGCTGTCAAAGCAGCCGATAGTTTCTTACACTATCAACTGCAAGGCTGCATACTGGCTGGGGAATTATTATTTACAGCAAGAAGAACTTAAAATACTTAGCATAATTAGTTAAGTTTGGAGAAATTAGAGCTAATTTTTTACTAGATTATAAATCATTTTTCAACCGCATACATTTTTGGACCCTGAAAAATATCTATAACCCTCAAAAAGCAAACATTGAAATCAGTGTGATCATGTGATCTTCCTCAGTCTGAAAGTTAATCGATTTTGATCCTGGCATATCAAGAGTATTAACAAGATACACAGTGGGGAACCACTTTCACTTTCATAATTTCTAATCTAAGGATTCATTTTGCTAAACTTTAATGAGTAGGTGGGCAAAAATTTAACCTGAATATTGTTGAAATGGGGAATTTGCTGACTTTGATATTTCCCAAGATTCAAATGTTCTCATGTTCCCACCTCTCGCCTCCCTTCGGTACTCACACTGGTGGAGGCTACTGCTTCCTGAACACTCTCCATGATGAATTCCTTGGTGATCCTTCGGGAGGGCAGCTCGTTGAAGAGAGAGTTGATGAGCGCCACTTTAGCGGCATCCCGCCTGGCCTCAGCTCTACTCAAGCAGCACTTGAAGAGAAAGGAGAGGCAGTTATTAGAGAAGTCAGCATCTTACCATTCCAACACTGCAGCCGCGGACCTCTGTGTACTTCTGCCATATACATTTACATGGGCTCTCTCTGTGCCTCAGTGTCCTTCTTAGTAAAATAATAGTAGGATTGAAGTTGAAATTGATTAATTGATATGAAAAAAGCACCAAGAATGGTTATGATACATCATCATGGTCCATGAAAGAACGTCAGTCACATTTACCATTATGGTGGTTGTATGAATATACATGTTAGGGAAAGGATACTACTGCCAGTACATACTGTTTTAACTTTTCCAGCATTTGTTCCTCACCTTTCTTCTAGCAATAGTTCCCTACTTTCCTTGAGGGTTGCCCTTTACACTTATAGGCATACATATATAGTTTGTGTAGAAATCAAAACCATTTGCTTTTTCAAAGTTAGGGGCCACAGACAGTCTATGCTCAGTAACTTATTAAATGTATTATATTTCAAGCCTGGCACGGTGACAACCCCTTGTAATCCCGGTACTTTCAAGGCTGAAGTTATGATGTTTTGAGGCGAACCTAGGCCAGAGAGGGACTGTAGAGATTTAGCTCAGTTGTGGAGTACTTCCTTAGATGCACAAGGCCCTCCCAGTGCTCCCAGTGTAACATTAGTCTCTGTCCTCCAAGCCTGATTCCCTCATTGTTCACAGGCGCTTGCCCGAGTATCTTGCTTCCATTCAGTTCATTCTCTCTCTTTTCCTAATACTTAAAAGTTCCCAATCTTTGAGTTGAGGTAGAAGTCCTATAAGAGCTAGAATAAAGCCATACCTTTAGAGCATTTGAGAGATGATAACTGCTCTCCAAGAGGCTCCTATGAACACAGAGCTACAGACACTAAGGTTCCTAGTAGGAAACTACTCTTGTGAAAAGAAGTCCAGGCCCAAGACAAGTCGATGGGGTAGCCACGGAGCCCAGGCTTGTAAGATCTAGTCCACCTAAGTTTGGGGGGCTATTTCCTTATACGCAGCTTCTTCTACCTAAATGTGAGGCTTTCAGAAACATGACTATACATGGTGTGAAAGGATAAAAGTATTGAGGGCCTCACTTCATTTTTCAGTTTCATAGTCTCAAATCCTTGTGTGCGTTCACACTCTACCCCACACTAACCTTTCTGCCCTGTCCCCAGGTGCTTCAATACAACCTTGTATCATTTAGAGCCCACTTCCAAAAACCCAGTTTGAATCCCTGAGATCAGGTTCCCAGTCTCCAAACGCTCCAAATATCATGAATGCTCTAGTGTAAGAATCATGTAGGTAGCAACTGATCACTTTTTTTTACTTCTCCCCAAACTTTTTTTTTTTTTTTGGTATTTTTGCATGCTTCTTCAATAGTCATTATAACATCTAAACCAGGATCAGTGCTTTGATTTGAGATGCTTGTGTACCATCAGGGCATGGAAAAAATAGTAATCATAAAGACTTTTAAAACAGTGGGGCAAGGTGTGTGTGTGTGTGTGTGTGTGAGAGAGAGAGAGAGAGAGAGAGAGAGAGAGAGAGAGAGAGAGAGAGACAGACCAGGGACAGAGGAAGTTTAAGTTCCAGAACATCAGTTTACTTTAATGTAATTATTTGCTGGTCTTTTGCCTGCTGTCTCCTCCTGCATGCTCTAATTGTTAGATAATTTTCTTTGTGTTCATTACCTATTACATAATTTTTTTGCATCCCTTCCTATTACAATTTACTGAATGAATAACAGGCTGACACATAGGAAACTTGGTAGAAAATCAATAAAACACCTGAAAAATGTGCAAGAAATTATTTCAAGAATAAATATATATACTACTTTTTCTTTAAAAGTACTATTTTTATATACTTTATATAGTATTTTAATTTGGCAGTATGAAAATATATTAAGCCTGGACTAATATTCATAAGGATAAGTGGATTTAGGCTCTGATATGAACATTTTTCTCAATATATAAGTTATATTTATTATTCTTTGAAAAGAATAAACTCCTATTAAAAAGAAAAGGTTTTGCCAATATTACAAAACATCTATAACAGCAGCTCATTTTAATAGCAGCTTTACTTTGCAAAATCTACAACAGAGTTTTGGGACTTTAGAATTTAGGAAATAAGATACGGGTCAGGGTACTCTTAAACTCTTAGAAAATATCTTTGTCTAAATAATAGCAATTTAAGAAAACTTTCGAGGGGGGGAGACAAAGTAAACACTGCCTAGTTAAAAGAAGCAATCTATTTAAGTAAGAGCAGCTAAGTACTAGATCAAAGGCAGCATGTCCATTTACAGCCCCATGGTACTGTCTCACAGATCAAAGAATAGCCAGGCAGGCAGGCAACACACAGGGCCTTTACCAGGGAAGCATGGAAGAGGAAGGTGGAGACTCAGCTAATCTCAAGATGTAAAAGCAGACACCTGTCTTTACTTATTTTATTGTTTCAGGGTATTGGAGGGTTTTTTTTTTCCCTTCCAATGGGGAGAAAGTGTGCCTGTTAATAAGTACATAAAATAAAATCAGTTCTGAGACATCAAAGAACTTTTCTTCATATTGATCTTTTTATTTCTGAACGACAATCACTTCAGAATGAATGTCTATAATGTCAGCCAGCTGCTTTCTTCTGAAACTACAAATCCAAGCCAGTAAAACTGCTGCCCGTTTTGCTTTTTAGAGGTTTAAGGAGAACCTTTCACCCATAGGAACATATACTTGGCCAAGCAATTTAGCTCATTTGCAGTCTGCTTGGAATATCAAAATAACAATCTGGATGCTCCTATAAGAACACACACCTTCAGAGTCATCACCAAACAATGGGAACTGTAAAGAAATAAATATGGCAAGTTAAAGGGCATTTTATTGTTTCCAAACTGGTTACCAAGGACATCAGATGGGAGTAAGTAAAGAATGATGCTATTTCAAAGCAGCTTCCAACTAGAATTAGACTTCACTGTATGGTTTACTCTTGCTATTTTCCCCCCAGACCTCATCATAAATACAAATCTGTAAACTGTACCTTATGTGCTGACCATTCTTACTTGCTAACACACAGAGACAGCTTTCATCCTTTGCATTCTATGAAAGTTCTGAGCTTGAATATTAAACAGTCAAAATCTTTAGAAAAGTCAGCTGCGGACTTCTTAGGCATGTGAACTAGATGCTTTGTGAGTGGCCAGCAGACCCCACCAGATATTTCTCTTGCTACTCAGGTGTCTTTTATTTACTAGTAGATTATAAACTATTATAGTCATTAATGCCTTCTAATAATAAAGCAAAAAATGAAAATACTCTCCTCCCTGATAACCCTTCTTCTGCAAAAAATACCCACTTACCCACCCAAAAAAAATCCACACAGAATGCTGTAATGCTTGGGAAAGCCATTTAAAGGCAATGGTGGGTCAAAAAGAAAATGCCCTCAGTGGTCCATTCCTTTTCCCAGCATTCACATCTTCACCGAGGTCGCTCGACTCTGTAGGAGTGTTAGTCAATGGAACATGGCAGAAGTGATAGTGTATTTCTGTAATATTGGTTTATAAATTCCCCGTTTGCCTTTTCTCTGATTACCTTCATGAAGAAAAGTTAGCCAATGTATGTAAGCAACCCTATGGAAAGGCACACATGACCAGGAAAAAACCTGAGGTCAATAGCCATCTTGGAGGGGTTGAAGGATACCCAATCCAATCTTTAGATGACAGTTTGACTGCCGCCTTCAGCAGGTGGGGAGCCAGAAATGCCCAGATTCCAGAGTCCTTAACATGTGTGTAAGTTTTGAAACAATTTATTATACAACAAAAGATAACTATTACAGAGTCTTCACTTGCACTTTTGGAAGAGAGCTCAGTATCTGAGATCTTATTGCTGACCCTCAGTGCTTTGGTCCTGTGCTAAGCATTTTATGGTTAATATCATGTCTAGTTATCACAACAATTCTATGAGGTTGGTTTTTATTATTATTACTCTTATTTTATAATTGTGGAAGCATAGACTTTATAAACGTTATGCACTCCAAGGTTATGGAACTTAAAAAAAATAAACAAATAAATATTCTCTCTCAAGTATATCTAACCAGTAATTTATTTTGTGCTTCATCAGAATCCTAACTCAAATCTTCAGATGAGTGAGTCACTGTGAACGGTATGCATGGTTGTGTTCTGTGTGGGGGCTACTGATTTCAGGCACATTTGTACCATGGAACGGGCCTGGAGAACAATCTATGGGAGAATTCATTTAGAGGAAAGGGGAAAGTTTAGGGAGTTGGTTCTTCCTTCTATCGTAGGTACCAGAGAGTCAACATCTTGGAAGCAGTTTTATCTGTTGAGCCATCTTGCTGACCAGCCTTCCACCTTATTTTTATGGGACAGGATCTTTTGCTAACTCTGAGATCACCAATTAGTTAGATTGACTTGTTTTGTTTTGTTTTCTTAAGAATGCAAAGACATTCTTGAAAGAGCTTAAATAAAATTTACAAATAAAATATTATTATAAATAAAATAATAACAGACAAATTTTTAAGTAGAAATGTCTAACAAGAAATTAGTATCATTTTAATAATTTACAAAACACTTAAAAACTGTAGGTATATCCCTTATAGGACATCTTCTCATCAGTCTGAAATAATTCATATTGAAGAGTAACTTTCATAGTGTCTGTCAATGGATTAATTTTCATCCATAACTTGTTTAAAAAAAAATAAGCAGGATGTGTGTTGAGTCAATTTTTTTCCATTTAAGAGTTTATTGAACATATATCCTAGATATGACTGGTTCTGTTGGAAAGCGTGTGGAAAGACATCAAGACAAGGAACCTAACTCTATCTTAACAGACTTCCTGAAATGATTCAGCCATGTGCTTTAAAGATTAAGAAAAAGGTTCTTTCAATCTGAAATCTATAGAGTCAAATTAAGTACACTCTACTTAGTGCCTATGGATGGCTGCTGAGGAGCTGCAAAGATGTAGCAGGCAAAATAACAGTAATGTAATAGCAAGTGTTACTTGTAA